GGTCCGACTGGGTCACGCGCCCAGAAGCACTTCCACCACGGCCGAAACCAGGCCAGGGGGACACACCCGGCTCACACTCACACACACTCTCTCGCGCTTGCTTTGCTAAATGCACCAAGTCCCATTTCTCGCGCTGCGGCGGCGGGGCGGGGCAGGGCGGGACGCTACATGTAGCGACCTGCGTACTCCACCCCCTCCCCCACTCTGCTCCCGCGCGGCAGGGGCCGGGCTGGGCCGGGCCGGACTGTTTCGCACAGAGATATTTTGAGAACGCACCCGAGTCGCATCGCTCCACGCCCCCCTCGGATCTCGACCCCTACCATCCCGCTCCTCCCCGCCACGGCCGTGTCGTGCCGCTCCGCGGACAGCGGCAGAGGAGTCTCTAAGAAAAAATAAATCTAGGAGCGATTTGGCCGTGTGCAGACGGGACGCACTGCCTTCCGAGTGGACCTGGCGCCCGGCCGCGCCCCCGCCAGGCAGCGCTGGTTAACCATGCCTCGGAATATGGGCACCGGCCGCCAACACCCTGCACTTTGTCGAGGCCGGGTGCGACGGGGTGGGGCGGGGCGCAAGCACCTTGTGTTTGTACCGAGCGGACCGGCAGCGAGCAAGCACTACAAGCAACAGTCGGACAGCGGCGCAGAAATGCAACGAACAGCATCCACTTAATCTCATCGTCCGAACACATCGCGCTGGGGGAGGGGGGAGTGTCAGGGCTTGCCAAGCATTGTATGTAAGAGGCCCATCGTTCGCCCCCCACGCCCACCCCCTCATCTACCTACTCTCACGCCGAGGTGAAACAGGAGGGGTGGGGTCGGGAGAGGAGGAAGTTATGGGGTGGCCCGTGGCGGTGGGGGGAGAGGGGGACGCAGGGGGCGATTTAAACGCGGCACGTCGTCGACTCCGTTCACACCTTGTCACCGGCCGACGCCCGTCAATCCGAGGCAAGGCGCCTGCCAGGGCGACGAGACGCACACCCCCTAATCAGCCCCCCGGGGAGAGGAGCGCCGCTGCTCCTTGATGACTCCCCTAACCCCTCCCCTGACCCCACCTCTCCCCTCCCATCCCCTAACCCCTCCCCTACCTCGCGGCGGCGGTTCGTTTAAAAATAGGACATAAAATCTTCACACGGCGGCAAACGTCACGCGTCTTCTTGGTGCGGGCAAGGCAAAAAGGCGGGGAGAAGTAGTTATGACTTACCTCCCGGAGGTGGACCTGATCCTGCAGGTGACCGCCCCGAGGCCAGCGTTCTTGGCGTTGACGGTGATGCAGTACTCCTCGCCGCTCGTCAGGTTCTGCTGGATGCCCTCCGTGATCTTGCACTTGTCGGCCTGCGGGCGAGGGAGGAGGAGGAGGTCATGAGCGGTCTGGCAAGCACTGTCGGGGTGGTGTGGACGCGGCCGCGCGCACTTACGTTGCCGGTGGCGTAGGCCTGCACGCTGATGGGGCAGTTGGGCACCTCCTTGCCGCCGTACTTGATGTTGATCTTGTAGCGGCCGCAGTCGTCGGGCGTGTAGCTCGCCGTGTACGTGCCGTCGCCGTTGTCGCGGACCTGCACCTTGCGGGGGTAGCCGTCCGGGCCCTGGATATGCACATGAAGCTCGTAAGTGTCTCTGTCGCAGTGCTCGTGGTGTGGTGAGTGAACGCACGCCATTCGCACCACCTACCAGAATCTGGACTTGGAGGTCACCGACGCCGGCCTGCCGGGAGTCGATGACGAAGTCTACGGGGATGGAGGCGGGCACGCCCTTGCTGGAGACGCCGGGGCCGTCGACGCGCACCCGGTCGGGCTCCACCTTGGGCCGCACCTTCATCTGGAAGGGGCTGCCCGCGATGTCCTTGCCGTCCCAGGTGATGTTGCCGAGGACGGTCGAGCCCTCGGGCGGCGCTATGTACTTGACGTCGTAGGTGCCGTCCTGGTTGTCGCGAACGTCGGGCTTCTGCTGCAGCGGGCCTGCATTCCGAAAACACGATGCGTCAGAACTCCAGACACTGAGAAGCGCCTCCAACAGAAGCGAGAGGTTTTTACGGTAGGGCAGACTCACCTTTGTCGCTCCTGATGTTGACGCCGAGCGGCGCTTTGGCGGACTTGCTCGCGTTCACCTTGATGTTCAGGGGCGCGCCCGAGCGGCACTGAGCGGGGTCCAGCCCCGGGCCGGAGGCGGACACCTGGTGAGGATTCACCTGCCTGTCGACCGTCACCTGCAGGATTCAAACGTTTCTCAATAAAATCAATACAAAGATGAAGCAGATGACGTTCTATTACAGATACGGATGGTGACCTACATTAAACGGCGATCCTGGAATGTGAGATTCGGCAAACTTGATGCTGACATCGTAGTCGCCCGGCTCGGTGGGGATGTACTCGACGGAGCACGACCCGTCCCGGTTGTCCTTGCACGTCATCTTGGCCTCGGAGGGGCCCTCGATGGCCAGCCCGAGGCCGCCCTTGCCCGCGCCCTTGGTCTCCACCGTGAACACGTTGGGGATGTCCATGACGCCCCTCTCCAGGCCGGGGCCGAAGGCGCGGCAGCGCTTCGGGTCGCATCCTCCCCGGACGTTGACCACGTACGGCGACCCGGGGACGGGGATGCCGTCGCACAGGATGTCGATGGTGTGTCGACCTGGACAACAACGCACGTTCCCGTCGTTAACACACACACTCGTTCTCGATCGCGCCGTACTCCGCCCACCTGCCGACGCGGAGCTCCTCCTCACCTTCTTCGAAGGGCGTGTAGCTGATGCGGTAGGTGCCGTCCGGCTGGGCCGTCACCAGGTTCTCGACGAGGCCGCCGCTCGGGTTCGTGATGGTGCACGTCACCCGGCCGTCGTCGCGCTTTGCCAGTGAGCGAGTGTCCACCACGAAGTCGGTGGGGGAGTCCACGAACACGCCTGCAACACGACAAGAGCTGTCTTAAAAGCAGAACAGCGGCTCAACGTCGATCGTAAAACAAAAAAGTTCTTGTTTTCGATATCAAAACAAAGTAAAATACTAGAAAGAAACAATCCAAAAATTGAAAAACAAGCGTTAAGGCAGAGCATGTTTTTTTGGAGCAAACCCTACAGCGGTTAGCCGTCACACTTCATCAAATCAATTAGATAAACACAAATCCTGGTAGGGGGTGTAACTAGCTAAATACACTTCGTCAGCTTCGTACACAGGCAGGGGACAGGGCGGGATGGTCACGCTTCGTCATTCCGGAGGTGTTAGCCGAGGAACACACTGGGCAGCCATGCCAGGCTCACGCTCACGCCAGGCCACACCACACAGGTCGCTGTACCGTTGGGCTGGATGCCAGTCCCGGACACCTTGATGTGCTGCAGGTCTTTCTCGGAGCAGACCGCGGCCTGGAAGGGCGAGCCGGGGATGTGCTGCTCGTTGAAGGTGATGTTGATGGAGTAGTCGCCGAGCTCGGTGGGCAGGTACGCCACGGAGCAGGTGCCGTCCCCGTTGTCGCGGCAGTTGATGGCCGCCTCGCAGGGGCCCTCGACGGTGACGCCGAGGCCGCCCTGGCCCGCGCCGCGCGTGTCGATGACGAACTCGGCGGGCTTGTTGACGACGCCGCCCTGGAGGCCGGGCCCCGTGGCGCGGACGCGGCTCGCGTCGCTGCCCGACAGGCAGGTGAAGCTGCGGGGCGCGGACACGGGCTCCCCGCCCAGCGACACGGACAGAAGGTACTCGCCGAGCTCGGTGGGCGTGAAGTTGACGAGGAAGCCCTCGTGCGTGGGCACGACGTGCGCCTTGATGCGGCTCCCGGACGGGCTGGTGATGGCCACGGCCAGGTCCGCCGAGCGGGCCACGCCCGGCGGCGCCAGCACGCGGAACTGCTGCAGGCTGTTGATGGGGGCGGCTGCGGCCGCGGCCACAGAGCGTTATGCACAGCCCCGCAACCAGGGCAACGTCGCCGTGGAGGCGGGGCTACCTCAAGTATGTGTCTCGTATAACACGGCTCCACCAGAAGGGAGACGGTGGTGAGAGACAAGAACTTGATGAGGACAATTTGTTAAACTCGTGACGATGACGTGATACAAGGCAAGCCCTGAAGCCAGAAACCCTCCACCTCTCCCACAAAGTAGTGTCGAGATACCATGCCCATCTCCCTCACAGAACCCCATACTCACTGGGCTCCAGGCCGTCCACCCTGATCTTGGACACGTCCACGTGCGGCTGCACTGCCACGCGGATGGGGCTGCGCGGCACGGACTGGCCGCCGTACAGCACCGTGATGGTGTGCGGGCCCGGGCTGGCGGCGCAGTAGTCCACGCGGTACGTGCCGTCCTCGTTGTCCAGCAGCGTGGCGGGCAGGTCCTGGCCCTTCTCGTTGCTCACCGCGATCTGCACCTCGCCTGCAGAGAGCTGACATTAATCACCGATCAAAGTGTAATTTTTGAATTTTTGTGGCTTATTTTTTTGCAAATCAAAACAAGTAGACAAAACCGCCTAACTCAGGCAGCAAGGGGTAGGCTGTAGCGCCACGACGCCTTCTCGGAAACGCGCCCCGGGTGTTTCAGTGCACGTGCCGGAGCGGGCGAGTTTGTCTACTTTCAGAGGTCATGTTGCCTTCGGGTTCGGTTTAATCCATAAAGTGCGTCCGTCAATTGCAGCTACAACCAGCAGAGTTCAGCTTCTGCAAGCTCTCAGAGCGCCTGTTAGGTAGGCAACATCTCGCCTGCAGTGCATATGTGTAATGCGGGGCGGCCTACCCCGAGTTTCACAGGCGCTGAGCTCCCGTAATTTGCCGACTGAATCTGAGAGGAAACGAACGTACTTTCTGGACTATTACTTAAGGGCAGAGGAAGAGGTAAACCAGCAAACAGTGAACCCGCCTGTACCGGCACGTGCTTTGAAACACCCGATGCACATCCGAGCAGTGTGGTTGCCTAATGCAAAGTATACTTTGCCCATAGGCAGGCTTCGATGCAGCCCGCTCTCCACAGCTGCTTCCATGTTGGATGTTTTCCTACTTTACCGGCAACACTTTGTGAGCCAGCGTGGTCCTCCGGTGGGTTGCCTTACCCTCGCCAGCATCGCGGCAGTCAATGTTGAAGTGTGTGGGCGTGTTGGTCTTAACGCCGTTCTCCACGCCGGGGCCGAACACGGACACGGCCTTGGGGTTGAGGGGCTGCGCGGCGTACACCCTGTACGGGCTGTTCTTGGTGGCCACGCCTCCGTAGTTGACCTGAGGAAGAGCGACGAGTGTTTAGAGAGGATACCCCTTCGCCGGCGCCCCTTCGCGCGGGGTATATCCGCGGCTGTGGCCGCTGGGGCCGCGGAGTGTTCCCCCTACCTGAACCTGGTGCTTGCCGCCGAGCTTGGGGGTGTAGTTGCAGACGTAAGTGCCGTCCCTGTTGTCCCGGACGCCGACGTCTACGTTGTCTCCTCGGGAGTCCACCACCTGGACGTCGAGGGGAGCATTGCCGGCCTTGCGGGTGTCGACGGTGAACTCGGTGGGCTTGCCCTTGTGAGTGCCGTCGCGCTCCACGCCCTTGCCCTGGCAGACCACGCGGTCGGGGAAGTAGTCGGTGCTGGGCAGGATCTGGGCCATGTAGGGCGAGCCGGGGATGTCCTCGTTGTCGCACAGGATGTGCACGGCGTACTCCCCGGGCGCCGTCGGGTAGTAGCGCACGTCGGCGGACCCGTCACCGTTGTCGTGGCAGTCGATCTTGGCCTGCGAGGGCCCCTCGATGCTGAAGCCCAGCGCGCCCGCCTCGCCGTTGGTGTCCACCGTGAAGAGGGCAGGATAGCCGACAACGCCACCCTTGAGGCCGGGCCCGTAGGCCTTGATGTTGGTGTTCTTGACCGGGCCCACGTTCACCTCGAAGGGTGAGCGTGGCACCTCCTGCCCGGCGAACGTCACCATCACGACGTGGCGGCCCTCCTTGCGCGGGGTGTACACGGCCTGGTAGGTGCCGGCCGGCCCGCCCGCGGGCCCGTCAGCCTTGGTGAGCCTCACGGGCTCGTTGATGCCGCCGGGGCCGATGACGCGCACCTCGGGCGTCCCCTCGCCCGCCCCCTCCGTGTAGATCTTGAAGTCGGCCGCGTCCCGGACCCGCACGCCGTTGGGCTGAATGCCGCGGCCGGCGCAGCGCACCTTGCGGGCGTCCGACACTGTGGAACAGGGACAGTGGCGATAAGTGTCATCCAATTCATCCGAAACCCATCGAAACTGTCCCACTGGCCATAGACAAACCTGGTGACACTCTCACGCCGAACGGGTTGTTGGGGATGGGCTGGCCGGCGAAGAACACGTTGACGGAGTGCAGCCCCACGTTGGGCGACACGTACTCGCAACGCCACTGGTCGGGGGAGATCTGGCGGAGGTTTACGGGTACGGTGTTCTTGTGGCCGGCGGGGTCCACGATGATCACCTCGGGGACGCCACGGCCTGCGTCTGCAAGCGGACGAAACGGGGAAAGGCCGTCAGCACAGGGTGTATCGTCGCGACGGAGGCGAGACTCCCCGCCCGAGAGGACTGCACTCATCTGCATGCCTCCCCCACCCACCATCCATACATTTGCCGATGGTTGCATAGGGCTTGCTAGATGTTTTCATCCCAACTTACCTTTAGTGGAGATGTCAAAGTACGTGGGCCTGTTGACCATGTTGCCCTCGGGCTGGAGCCCCGGCCCGGCGGCCGTCACCTTGCTGGCGTCGCCGGCGTGGCCCTCGACCAGCACCGGGTACGGCGACTTGGGGATCTCCCTGCCGGCGAACCTCACGTACACCTTGTGGTTGCCCTCCACCTTGGGCGTGTACGAGCAGCTGTACGTCAGGCTGCGGTCGTTGTTGAAGCGGACCTCGCACTGGGGGCCAAAAGGTCGCAGGTTCAGAACAATCTCCCGAACAAGTCAATCGCACTCGTCGTACCGGCTCCCAACTTACCGGGATGGGCTGTCCGTTCGGCCCCTCCACGGTGACCTCCACCTTGCCCTTGCCGGCCGAGAAGGTCTCGACGGTGAAGTTGGCGGGCGCGGCCACGACGGGGCCGCTGGGTTCGATTCCAGGACCATACGCGCGGACCCTACGCAAGAGACAAGGGTTCAGTCCAGCCTCTTCTCGCTGACAGCGGTGAGATGCCCACCCCCCGCCGTCGCTGTCACTGCCACGTGGTGCAACGTGGGGTGGGTGGGGAGGGGCGTCGTCACGTTAAGTACCCCCTCGTGCGGCTGGTCGGGGGGGTGCATCCAGCCTCATTGTGACTCACCCAGCCCCGCCCACGCCTCGACACAGCCGCGCGGTGCCCCAGTGCGAATTATGTCAAGTGCGAAAAGGAGGGTGGCCGCGCCAAGACGACGTGTCTGCCCCCACGTGTTGGGTAAGAGGGTGGCGGGCGGGGCGGGGCTGGCCGCGCCGGGGGTGGCGGGCCGTGCTGCTGGGCCCCGGCAGCTCTCTAGGCCCGCCCCTGGACCGCGGCCAAGATGCAGCCGACTCGCGCACGAAGCGTAATTGCCTGTGTGTTCTTGGCACTGCCATTATTTTTAGAACAACGGGATATAAACACTGGCCCAAAGAGGTCCCCGGTTCGGTTCCTCGTTGAGGCAGGCCGCCGGGCGCCGGCCCGGGTGCAGCCGACTTCTGCGCCGCCAGGAGGAAGTTATCAGAAGAGGTCGGCTTTCGAGCGAAGAGGCATCGAAAAAAAAAAGAAGTAAATTGATATGTCGTGTTTGTCGCCAGATATGAAGTGGCCAAAGCATCAAAGCAAACACAAGGAAGAGTTAAGCAAACGCGTATATTGAAAACAACATAAGTAGTATAAAAGTATTTAAAAATCACAACTTGAGATCGAACAGACTAGACACAATAAACAATAGGCAAAACAGATAAATATTAAATAACGATATCAAAGAAGAGGCACCAGATTAGAACGAAATAAGCGACCACGACAAAGTGCCGCCGTGGCCTGCTAGTGGTTAGAGGGCGTGACGTTAGATCACGCGCTAGATCTATCTCCGGACAGGAAGGAGGCAGCCTAGAAAAGCGAAAAGGTAAAGCTATAAAGACTGGCCAAGTTCTACAAAAAAAAGCAACGCTAAGAAGAGAAATTAAGGAAAAAACTGTCAGGTAAGGCAGTTATAGCTATTTGACGGAGAAATTTGCGAAAACTGTAAGCGCAAACTCTGTTAAAACGCGGAACAATCATACATTATTCAAATGTTCCACACAGCATGTGACGATCTCACTCACCGAGGAGGAGGAATGCTAGAAGGGTACACAACGTAACGTATAATTACTCTGAACTTGAATTACCAATATAGTACACTTTCAGACGACGATGTCATCAAATAAGTCAATGTTGTCTTATTGCTCGGGCCTCTCCTCTCACCTGTTTGGGTTGGTGCGCGGGCGCAGGGGTGCGCCGGGCTTGAGCTTGGCACTGGGGTACTGCGACAGGTAGGTCATCATGGACATCTCGTCCATGTTGGGGCTGACCATCTCCTCGGGCTTGATGAGCTGAGGGACGTTGAGCCAGTCGTCAGCCAGCCCCAGGGCCTCGGCTGCGTTCTGGATGGCATCCTTTGGGTCCCAGTCCTGCCAGTCCGGGCACAGGCCTGCAAAGGGGCGTAACCAAGAAGAATTGCATTTGATCTAATGTTTTGTTGTGGAAGAACTCCTGTATTGGCCAGAAGATCGGCTCCATACCCGGGGCAATAGCGTCCACCAGAGCACCCACGGCGCGTCCGTCGTTCCAGTCCGACGTGAAGTTGGTGATTGGCAGGTCTGGAATCTTGCTCTGGATCCAGTGGAGTAACCTGCAGGCAAAGGACTCCTTCAGTGGGACTATCCTACTACTGGCAGCAAGCAGCAATCCGACAACCGCGACGAACCTCTGCTTTGGGGTGGGCTGCTTGTCGCCTGGCGGGTAGTCCTCCTCGCCCTCCCACATGGGCAAGGAGATGGAGTAGTGCAGGATGAGCATCCATATCAGACCCAGGATCAGCTTCAGTTTGCAGTCCACGATGTCTGACGAGTCTGCAACACGAGCACGGGTTTCGTTATTGATTGGAGGTCTGCAGTGACGTCTTCCTTTTAGGAAAGCCGTCGTCGAAGAGCGGAAACGTTTCCGAAGACCAGTTCGTGGAGGTTGAAGACAGTGTCCAGTCCAGACCATGAGAGAGCAACAGGAGGTTCCGAACCCTTTCCCGCCCCGCCGCCCCGCCCCGCCCCCGCCCCCGGCCTCCCCTGTCAGGGCGCAGAGTGGCGCGGCTCAGCTGTGCTTGTGTGTTTCCGCGGACGGTAAACAATGGCGTCACCACAGACCCAGTTTAACACCGGCGACGGTACTGCTGCGGAAATGGTTCAGCAAAGCGGCGCCCGAGCACATACCGCCCCTCAACCTTCAGCACTCCACGGAAAGTAGCTCGCAGGACTCTCTTCTTGGCGGAGAGGGGTGTCCGTGTCCAGCATTCGGTGCACATCACCAACGCGATGACGCGCACGCAGATGGTTACTGAACACATGCCGTCCCATAAGAGATCCCCTACATTCTAGAAGGCTGTAGGCCCGTAGCGCCGCCACGAGCCCAAGACAGGCGGTGAGGCCATTAGCGAGGACAGCGCCAATCAGTTTTTGACGCAGGCGGCCGAGGGTGGGGGTCCTCCTCCTGTGGGCCAGGGCTGTCGGGAAGGGCCAGAAGGGTAAAGGGAGGAGGGGAGGCGAGGGGAGGGCGGTCCTGGGAGTAAAGAGAAAGAGAGGAAAAGAGGGGCGCGGGGGGAGCGGCCGATCAGCCGGGACGGTAAGTCCTTATGAGGCTCGCCAGTGCTGCCCATGTCTGGTGCGCGCGCCACAGCCGCGCGGCAAGTCGGGCTCAGCCGCGAAGCTCAGCCAGCCGCGCGCTCAGCTCCCCCACACTGAGGTCCAACGACAACCCACCCGGACGAAAGGTAGGCGTGGTGCGACTACTAAAGGGCGGACCTAGAGAGTGTGCAATCAAGGAGTATGGAAGCAGGAAAACTGCTGTCGCCTTTCGCATTCGGGAGGTCCAGTCCAGACACGACTGTGTAACGGGTGGTTTGCCCCCCCCCCTCCCCCCTCGCATCCCCAACACAGGTGTCCTTGCGCTCCACGACGGCGCGGCCTTGCCGGAAAAGGAGATGCTGGTTCAAAGAGGCCCCTCCTACTTCCGGCCACTCATATGGTCACCACGACCACGGCGATCGCATTGCGAGAAAAAATAATGTGAAGGAGTGGGGTGGGGGGCGGTGACAAAAATAATTGAAATAAAAACACGCGCAAAACGAGACTGGGATTACCCCCCCCCCCTTTTCCCTCCTCCTCCCCCATTCAGACCGTCTGCGCGAGCGCGGGAACCGCTGAGACGTAGCGGCAGGAGACGGGGGGAGGGGGCAGGCAGGACCTTCCCCCGCTCTTATCTATATTCGCACCGGCCGGCCGGCGCACTTGTCGAGGAGTGCGAGTTGAAGAGCTCACAGGGCGGGCGGCGGATGTGGGCATGTGTGACTGTGTGTGTGACTATGTGTGACTGTAAGTGTGAGTGCGTCGTGGCGGGCGGGGGAGGAAGTGATTGCGGCCAGCACTAATGGACGGGGCGGAACGGGCGGCGGTGCGAAAGGAGGCCAAAGTGTGATGGAGCGCGAAAAAACAAACAAAAAGAAACACGCCCAAGAACCCGTGAATAAGTGTGTGGTTTCTCGTAGAGATTAATATACTCTCTGCGCGCAGTTTGTATCCAACCTGCAGCAATAAGATCAACTCGGAGGGCGCGGAATCTTATTGAGGGAAAGAAAACGATGGGAAAGGTTGAGGTTGAGGCCGGCCTGGAACAGCCGCGAACGTCCAGGTACAGGGTGTGTTCCACGGACGTTTTGTAATGGCTATTCAGAACGCATAAGGCGTGCGGACGGGTTCGGGTCATTGTCTCGGATCATTCACGGCCCCAAACGCGTAGGCAACCCGTCCATGAGAAACCCGAGACTTTGTCTTTGTTTTTTTATCGTCGCCAAAGTCTGTGAGCATGGCGTCCACCACTGACTGCGCAGCAATGCCAGAAAAAAAGTAGAATGCTGGGGCTGCAAATTGAACGACAAACAACATGTGTCCGGCTGGTCTGCCTGGTGGGCCTGGTCACCCGCGCTGACTCGGCGAGTGCGAAAGTGGCGTCGAGTGGCGAGGCAGGGGCGTGCCGAGCTGGGGCGCGGCGCGGCGGGGCGGGTGAGGCGGGCGAGGCGTACCAGAGGCCAGAGGCGACGACTCACGGAGCATCAATCGCGCCTATTCATTCCTGGAAGTACATGACGCCAGCACGCCCCCCCCCCCCCTCTTAACGGGCGGGCGTCGCGGCGGCTGGGCGGGCCAGGCCGGCCCAGGCCAGGTGGTAGGCGCGAGGGCCTCCGGGGCCAAAAACAGCGACCAGCCGCGCCGCACTCGCCGAGCCCTACATGGCCCTCCAGTGAAAGGGATCCGGGCGCTGTGGTTTCCATGTCGACCAAAGGGACCGCCCGGCCGGGCCGCCGCGCACCGCCACGCCCCCACCTGTACGACACCTGCTCCGCGACGCCCGGCGTGGTCACCATGGTAACCCAACACAAGTGCGTGAACCGGTTGAAAGCTGCACCCAGCCGCCGCGCCGCCGCGCCACTGCCCTCCCGTGCCTTCCGACAGCACACCGCCGCGCCACTGCCCTCCCGTGCCTTCCGACAGCACATACTGATCCTCCCGTCGCGGGCCGGTGGGCGTGGCGGGGCTTGGCGGGGCTTGGCGGGGCGGGGCGGGGCGTGGCGGGGCGTGGCGGGGCGTGGCGGGGCGTGGCGGGGCGTGGTGCCCTCTGCCCCCCCCCCTTTCGGGCCCTAGCCCATATCGCCAGTCTTCCTTTTCCCCGCCAGCTCGGACCGTGGCCCCAGCCCCATAATCCTTTAGCAAGGTGACCCTGCGAGGAACGCGGCCAACTCCGGGTCGGGCGGCGAGGCAGAGCCCGGGGAGCCCCTGCCGCGCCGGTCCGGGCGACACGACGGAGCGAGTGGCGCGGGTGCCGTTCCGCTGTCGGCCGTCCGCGGTCCATCTGGCTGATGACCTCATGGCGCTGCGGTATCTCTCACCTCGACGGCCAGCGGCCAGCGGCGGCCACGGGGTCCGCGATACACAGCGTGTCCCTCGCTTCTGGCCGTCGTGTCGGTGGTCCGCGCGGCCCCCGGCCCTGGCACGGCCCTGGCGGCGGGATGAGAGGCATCCGACCCGACCTACCCGCCCGTTGCTGTCCATCGCGCTGTCGAATAAATTCCAAAACGAGTTTCTTTTGTTGCGCCTGAGAACGGCAGGGCAACTTTGTCTGAGAGACTGGACTTGGCTTTATTGCCGCAAAGCGCTCCCATCCTCCACAAGTAGCTTAATCATCACCTCACCTGCGCACCGGCCCACCGCCCGCCCGGAGCCGGCCCGTCTCATGTGGGCTCCTAGGAGCCTCCTCTGGGCTCGCGCCGGCCCACCGCCGGGAGCCGGCCTGATCTCCTGGACTCCTGGGAGCAACCGGCCGCTCCCAGAGACGCAGGCGTTGGCGTGTGTCATCAATCGGGGCCTTCCTCCTGCACGCGCAGGCTGGGCGCAGCCAAAAGCCGGCGCGGGCGGGACCGCCTGCGACATAGGCAGCGCCGCCACACACCCGTGCGTTGAATGCCTACCTCCCAGGCGTCCCACCAAAACGAATGGAATAAGGACATCGTTATTGCTCTTGTTGGTATAGCAGTCGGGCTGTGCGACACCCCCTGGGCGACAACTCCAACCGCGATCGCCAACGGGCGCCATCAGGAGTGGTCCCTCCCTGGACCCGAGGAGGTCTGGGCCGGGGCCGCCTGTGAGGTAGGCAGCGCCGCCACGCACCCGTGCACTGAGTTGCCTACCCGCCAGGCGTTCCGACAGTTCCGACCGACCCCGGTCTCCCATTGAAGCATTCCGGTAAAGCTGAAAAGAAGAAGAATATGAGGGGAACAACGATGATGACTTCCGTTTCCTTGTTCCGCGCAATCTTCTGCATTTCAGCTTCACCGGAATGCTTTATTGGAGCCAGCGATGGCACCGGTCGCACGATTAAAGATGCAGAGCAGCGTTTTAAAGTCACTCCAGATTTGGACGACGGACATAAAACCCACGAGCGGAGCCTTTATGGCTGCCATTTAGCCCGTCCCACCGATCGAAATTCTTCAGGATTAAGAGCCGAATAAGTGATCCGAATCCCACCCCGTCTTCCGCGCGCTCGTGACGCATTCGGCATTGAATCTGCAGCCGGGCCGGGCGGGCACACCGCACTGCCGCCAACACCGGCAACGCCGTTGCCATTTGCTGTAAATATTGACTCGGGTCTGCGTCGCGTCGTGCGGCTCGAGCATAGCCGCGGCCAGGACGTGCCCGCGCGCCGCCGAACCCTTCGGAGCAAAAGGTGCGACAACCGCAGGATGCATCGCATGCCACGGCAGAGTTTCGACGACACCTT